AAAGTTGGTTATCGACGGAGAATTGATCGGCCAGCAATTACCAGTCCGCATAAAACGAATCGAACTATACTGTCAATATGATAAACCCGTGGAGTGGAACTCACTCACACTGGCTGAAAACCGGACGCACAAAAATGAGCGATCTTGACCTCCTAAATTAGCATGTTTCGGCTACCTATAAATACAGTTAACTTATGGTGTAGATATACTCTCTGTTTACCGAGTCTTGGTCTTCTGTATTCCGTCGGTTGGGTTGGCGAGTGACTGAGAAGTCCGACAGTGCAGTCTCATAGGGCAGCTAGCAACAGTACAACAGTCGTCAGTGGCAGAGAGCAGAGGTAAAGAAGAAGCGTTACAACATAGACATCACTATTTTCCAACAGGTGCCCAGTGCGCATGTTCGCCCCGTGTCGATTATTCAATTCAAGCCTAGTAGTTATGGCTAAAACACGACCTCGCTGAACTGAAGCAGCTTCAAAGTTAGCCTTCCAAGTACACTACTGGAATGTGCAATCTACCATACGAGCAAATCCAGAATCGTTTGGGAGTATCCAGCGGAACTTATCCCCTGTTACGTGGTGACCTTATAATGACCTACTTGATACTGCACGATCGAAATCATGTGTGCCCCACTTTACTGCAACTCAGGAGTAAGGCATACTTGAAAGATCACTTCAAGAAACTGGCAGACCAGTACAACCGCCTCGCCTGCCACAGAAAGTTTGTTTCTATTCCTGTATGCCCCCTGTGTACATTGCCCTGAAATCAATCGTTTCTTCACCTACACAAGCCGTATTGAAAAGTCGACCACTTATACTTTACTATTTATTATCACCACTCCATCCTACCCTTTTGAAATACCTTGGATCTATTATATATGTCACGTATTGTTGCGGTGAAACTACGCAGCGTGCGGGACTCGCTCTTGGTAATAAATTATAAGACCTTTTCTTTTTATTGCGGTACGTTCCATTTAGCAATTTGCACAATACGGTAAGAAGACGATAGCTGATAGATGCATGCATTTCATTTCGTCTCCTCATTACAATTCACAATAATTGATATGCAACTATATACATAACTATGGGTGTGAGCAAACCAGCCTGCGGTGCAAAATGAACGACGGAAGTTCCACCTCTATGTCCATGATTGCCTTAAGCTCACAAGTAATTGTTTGTTAACACACTGAGCTGACTTCATCCGGTTCATTACCACAGCCTCGGCGGAACGGAGGAAGCGGGGATTATGGTAACACGCTTGTGAACTCTGATCCAAGCTACATCCGCCGAGGTGCGATCACTAGGTGTCTCCTATTGAGAAAGCTGGCGGCCTGCGTGAGTACAAAGAATCGGAAGGGCAGGGATACTGGTCAGTTTCAAGTTGAACCCACCTCGACGCGTGTTCCTTTTTTCGGAAACTCAAAGACCGATCAATTCTGGTTATGTCACTGGATCCGCAATCACACACGAATTGGTATGCACAGTGTGAACTGGCCCCGATCGGTTGAGCTTCCCTCGTTGGAGGAACAGGCAAATTCCGAGTTCGGTTAATGATCACAACTTGAGCAGCATGGTAACTTCTTTGCGCAGCAAAATTAAGCGTTTCGGGGGTCTTAAGTGTGGGGAAGTCACCCTTAAGAGGCAAAGCGAGATAGATCTTCTTCTTGGCTGTTATATACCCTAATTACTTTGGACCTCGCTTTTGACCATGTTTCTCTATGAAACTGCAAGTATAACCATTCGTCATGAACCTTGTTTAATTATCTTTAGCTCGTACGCCAGACAATCCGCCGCGCAAATTCGCCCGTGTCTAACTAAAGCTTTTAAAAATGTCCGTTTGTACCGCGCTGGTGTGAAGCTGGTGAAGTGCAGGTATTGACCGGAGTATGTCGTTTTTTTGTAAACAGGCCTCTCAAATAGTCCATCATCCCTGTGACTGATAACGATGTCCAAGCATGGTAGACAGGGTGGTTGGGGGGCTGGAAATGCTAGTGACTGAAAATGCTGTGGTACCGACAAGCTGATGGTCAATCGAACGCCACCAGGCATCTCGCGCAGTACCAGACAGATGCAATCCAGCCCGGTAGAGAGTGAGCATGTCGTCGGAAGCAGATTGGTCAGACAAGCGGAAAATTGTTGGCGCGCACCCGTGTCGAGCGCACTCAGCAATCATCCACTGAATGTGCAAGTGACCAATCAGACGCCAGCAGGTCCCAAAGGCACAGCTGAAGAGGTACACACTCGTGCGGAGCTGATTGGTGCGCAGTTGAGTCAAGATTTGTGATAATGGACCGAGGGAAGAAGCGCGCGGCCTAATGAACGAGTGCCCAATCCAGTCTACCGTACATCGTACATCGAGAAAAGGAAGGTAATTTTAGACAAAATGAACGTGACGAGCAAGCGTAAACCAATGGAAAGGGAGTCAGCGACAGAATGCAAATAACAAATATGAGCAGTGAAGCGGTCTGTTGCAAATAGTCTACATAAATAGTCTACATACATACAAGTGTAATCTCAATAAAGTATTTAGTGATCGCGGACCAGTCTCCTTGTTTCCAGGAGGGCTACTCGACGGGCACTTCTTCTGTTCCACCTCCCAAGTGACCTGCAAGTTGGCATGTGCGCCGTTAAGCTGCTCCACCAACTGCACCATCTGCTGCTCCGATGAAAAATGGCCACAATATCATCCACCTAGCGCTTATAGTATGTCACTTGGCTATTTCTGTTGCTATGCCTCTTTCTATCCTCAGAATAACGAAATCGGCGAGTACAGGGCCTAGCGTATTCTGTAAGTGGAAGCTAACCTTTTCAACACACAACAGCAATGATTCTTTTAGAAGTTCGACTGGAATTGACAACGAATAACCAGATTGCTGAGCTAGTTCGCAGATGCCATCAACTATCTGGGGTAGCGGAACGTTAGTGAACAGACATTCCGCGTTCAATGAACGCATAATTTTATCGGATAGGTTGATATTATCCAAATCATTGATAAGTTGAATGGAATCCTTAAGACTGTATGGATTGGACATTTATCGCAGCATTGAAAGGAGCTTCACTAGCCATTGAGCGAATTGTGCTGCAGCGCATTTATTGTTGATAGAATTGGTCTAATTTACACTCCGCTCTTGTGCGTATTCGGTGACCCATACAGCTGTGGAATAGTGCTGATACTTGGCTTCAAAAGGTCATAGATGTCACTATCCATCACATGATAGAGACGAAGCAAAGGTAGGTTGCTTTGCGGGCTTCAACGTCGACTACATTCCCCACCTTCTTAGGTCTTCAAGTTTACTCGTGCCGTTAAGTAAGACATTCCTTTTCTAAGCGTACTCGGCTTTCTTCATGACAACCACTCTAGAACCTGTATCCGGTTTCATCACATTTCGTTCTTAGTACGTCGTTCGCGTAGCACTGGTGTCGGATTGTAAGAGTGCACTTTTAACTCACGGGCACACTCTTAACTTCATAGGCGATATCAGGCAAATTGCTTCTAAACAAAACAACGATGTTAGGACTGGATGGTTGAAGCTCCTTAACTTGATCGAAAAAGATCAAATTGGGTTGCTATGAACAGCCGGTTCAGGCTTCTAGGGGAACTTTGTAATCAAGCCTTGTGGCAATGCTTCTAACCGTAACGCAACAAGTTGCATGTCTGGTAAATTCGACACGTACTTACTAGGATCACGAACGATTGGCTTCTCTTTTTGGTGGTTTTTTAGTGAATTCTCCAACGGATTATTCCGATTTCTCCTTATACGGTCGTGGGTGGAATTACAAAGGTTAGCAAACACAATCGGACCACACAAAGATAGATCCTGTATCACTGATAGTAAGCTTGCATGAGTTTCCAGGAAACTCACACGTTTTGACTCGGCCGTCTCCAGATGAGCGGATGTCATGCTTCTGTTAGCCACAGATGGCATGGGTCTATTTCTTCCCAACAATGTGAGAACTGAGCGAGGGTGTCTACGCAGGAGAATACATTTCCAGAAATCTCCGAACGCGCCAGCAAAATTTTGCACCTGAGGTTGACTAGAAGATGAAGCGATTTCACAGTTTCAGCGATGATTCGTTTTTTGAAAAATTTAAAGCAGTCAGCTCCCCTTAGTAATATGAACAATGCCGTAAGAAGACGAAAACGGCTTTGCCAATAAAAGTGCTAACTTTTTGCTTATATTTTTAGATATTCCTACCAAATCATCCGACAAGTCGTATAAAGCAGTGCTTCTCACAATGTATACAACGGTTGTTCATTTTAGCTTGTTCAGATGACCTAGGTTATACTTGTGCAAGACATTACACGACATGGTTCGCAACATGAACCGGTAGAGTGCCTACCGAAGCCCTCCTAGCTCCACTATCTGTTTAGAGAGCGTACTGATTTGCCGACGGATTTGTGAGGTTAAATTTTGTATGACTTGAAAAAGTTACGAGGTGGATGTCTGTGATGGCGCTTTGTCTTCATGACTTGGCTAAACTTTCCCGACCACCCGTTGTTATAGGATATGTGTGCCTTAATTCCAAAAGTTTGTTTAGTGTATGTTGGTTTTATGGTAGACTCCCTTCCTGTCGTTATCTTCGTCCTTGTTAACACGAGCAGTGAGATTGAATGGCGTCGAAGCAAAGACAAGCATCTCAATAATCACGGTCTCATCAGGAAAGCAATTTATCAACCAGAATGTCTACCTTGTGTTCCTTGTTCTTGCTGTAGCCACATTGTAGTGGTATCTGCGCTTTGAGTAAACTTTTGTACTTCGGTGCCCTAGGTTCCTGCGCCAATGGGAAAGAGATCAGTGCCAGCAGTTAGTAAGTAAACTGAAGCATAGTTCAACGGGTGTTCTCCTCTGACCCGCCTCTCACTATCATACCTTGGGTCAAATACTCAGTACACTGGACTTAGATCACAACATACACTACAACTAGACATCCGTACCGATGTCACAGGTAGTTTTCTGGTAAAATTTGCCGTCTTCAATCCCCATTTTTGGTTATAGAGAGATGGCCGATAAACTTGGCACTACTGAGGCAAACTTGCTGCTCGGTGATGCCTATATGTCCATCCAAGAGCCTGAACGTGCAATGGAAATCTACGAGACCGTCTTGCGGAAGGACCCAAACGATGCTCGCCTTGCGTCAAAAATGGGCCAGGCTCTAATGAAAACTCACAACTACGCCAAAGCTGTGTCGTATTATGAAGCTGCAGTCAAAGGTGGTCAGAAAGCGCTTCAGTGGGATCTAGCCGATTTGCTAATCAAACTGAAACACCATGAAAAAGCCAAGCGCCTTCTTTTCTCTCTCGTGAACCATGACACTGCTGAGCCAAGTGGGTTGTTTATTGTGTTTATTGGAGAAACCTCTGCAGCTGTTATTGCTTTCCGACTTACGCTACACTCTTCCCCTCACCAACAAATTCGTCCACTTTTAGTCTTTCTTAGACTTTCTCACAATATGTTCTGGTGAGCGCTAGTTATTTAGTGCGTCCATGTGATGGATATCACTTATGCAGTGAGATATGTTGGTTGGGATTTTGCAAGATTCTTAAATTCATTACTATCACAGTCCAAACCTGAACTCAAAATATTTCCCATGGCAACATAAGGAGGATACAATGACATCCTTTCTCAAAATATTAGTTTGTTTGAAGTGGAGGTAATGGATTTCGCTTGTTATAACGCTGCATCTTATCACCACCTAACTGGTTAGCTGCTGAATGTTTCAAGTCAGGTAACTCCAGTTCACCTGGGTTCTAAACCACTTTAACTAACCCGCCGCTGGTTGCTGTGGGCAGCGCGTCAAAGAATACAGATGTTGTATTGATCTACCACAAGAATTTCCCCGTTAGAAAAGGTAGTCATTTCCAAGCTGGTCCTGCAATCCCTGCTACCTAAAGTAGCATACTTTCACGCCATATGCTTCAGGTATAGTCACAAAATCACATCTTCCCATATACCGCATCCGACGGTGTTACTATACACAACTCAAGGTTGAATCAATTATCCTGGGACAAAGCTTCCGCAGAATATTCAAGCGAGGGCGACGTCCTTCCGGCCGGTGGCCGAGTGGTATGCGCGTCTGGTTTACAACCATGAGGTCACCGGTTCGAATCCGCGTAGGGACGGATGTCTTCGCGGTATAATCAGCCCATGCGCGACTGGTGGTGGTCGCGTGGCAGCGAAGTGCCGTTACGGCGTACAGCTGGCGATTTACTTCTTTCACTTTACTTACCCTCCGTTTAACCTTTTACATTCTCACTTTCCTCGAGTTTTTCCTTTTCACCGCTGCTGTAAATCTTTTAGGAATGCGTAATTGAATCGTTCATCAAAGGGTGATTTCAATCTACCTGGTATCTTTCATAGTTTTCTCCCTGGATCAGGTCGAACAACAGGCAGCACCCCCTTGTCATAGGAAACCTGTGTGGTGTTCCAGCAACAACTGTAGAAAATATAATCGCCCTAACTTATGTTGGATTACCTCACGCAGGCAAAACTTACAACGGCTGCGTACTTAACATCAATGGGAATGCTGTGTTAGTATCCTGTTGTAATGCATGCAGCAAAATGGTGAGGGTAATCGACCTAATTGAATCCTTGAAAAAAAAACCGAAATTGCTGCTCGACAGTCCTCGCTGTTAATTTCGACAGTTAGCTTTTCCTTGCGTGAAATATAGCTCGAAATACGCCAGATAGATTTCGTCTGCAACTATCCATAGGGCCAGAAATATTAATATTCTGAGGGGATTGTACTTTTCTCCGAGCCGGGCATTTCTGTTGCGGATGTTTCCTTAAAAAACTGGGCAACATGTTCAGTGTGGCTATTCAGTCCTGATTCTGGGAATCTCTCAAACCACTGACAGATCCGAATGCCTATCGATTGTCACCTGCTTCGAATGTCAACCTTCGATTGGTTCACGTGAGACTGCCAAGGAGTCGAGTCTTCTTGTCCTACTGGTGCATATCATTGGCGTAACCTGAAGAGCTCTGTAAACACCATCCAGCTCCAGATGATTTTTGGCTGAGTTCCGGCGCGAATGCCAGACCTCAAGGAACTCACACGCACTGTCGTTCCTTGATCTTGGAAGAGCATAGTAGTTCACGCTTGAAGCCTTGATCACTATGCCAATGAAATCCGTGAATAGCGCCTAGCACATTGAGACATAGTTCTCGACGATGTCTGACGCTTGCTCTAATCCTTTTTTCGATTGATTGCATCCACAGTGTAACTGAATTGCTCCCTAACGATTTGTTACGTATCTCAAGCCGACTGAACATTCTCATTAGTGAAATTGAATTGCATCCGGTATCATTTCTACACACCAAACGCACGCAGGGACCTTGGAATTGAGCTAGCCCAAAACAGCCAATGATGGTAAAATTAATCACCCTTGCATGAATGTATGGGTTGGTGGTGTGCGGTGTTGACGCGTCGATGGCCTAGCCCGCATTCAGCAACAGTGCCCTATCTGAAGCTAGTTCTACGCAGCTTAGGGGCGCAAGATTGTCCAAACACGTGATGCGACTGGGTATAAGTGGACTACAATTTACGTAAATGCATGCCTTGCGAACGGCACAAGTTGGGGGTGGGGCTGCGAACAAGGTAATGCGACATCCCATTAGTGAGCTTATTGCTAGCTTGGCACTGACGCAGCCCAAGCAAGGTTTTGGACGACCTACCAACGCTCAGGCATACGACGGTACTGTGTTCGGATAGCGAGGAAGTCACAGGTGTATGGCTGCGTATGACGGGGGCGCTGTGACGGGATTGAGAGTAGAGCGACAAAAGAGGTCTGCGCAACCGAAATACAGGTTGGACGGTGGTCGCCTTGGGTTATAAAATGTCGTCTTGAGTGGCGGTGTGTTGAGAGGGCTAGTGCCAAAATACATTTGTGGCCATTTGGTTAGAAGGCGAGTAGGTCTTGCTCTGTGACAGCAGGCGTTGCATACCCTTATGGTGGATTCAGTACACCAACTAGATGATCCCTGAAGCAAATGAGATACTGCGACTGGGATGTCGGAATTTCGCATCGACTGATTGCTACGCACATGCAGTGCCTATAGATAGGATTGTCCGGAAGCGTCAGCAGTGCACATTCCATCTGGCCCTTGTAGTGCTCGAACCCGCAACTCGACTGTTACCAGTCCGTGGTTAAGACCACTGAGGCACGATTCCCGAACGGATGAAACTACCGTACAATGCTTTTCCGGGCGTGAGATGGTCGTGTGAGTGAGTCTAGTTCTTATGAATTCCTACCTTAAATCCCCCTACTACCGTTCTGTAAACATAGGATTTTCGTCACCATTTTTTCTTTTATGTGTTCGCGGATTCCGGAACTGCGTGCAATTTCTTCATTGTTATCAGCCTCTCGTCCAAGTGTCGCGCTATGGTGCTAATGCTCACCTCAAGCATCAACGCAGCTTTCAACCGCAGGTAGAGTGTTTGGAGAGTGACGATAGTCATTCTACCAGACAAACAATGTGGCTTTCTGCCAGAGCTCCTCGTCGCCCCCACCATGCTTCGCTCTTTGTTCGATTGGTTCCATTCTTCGTAACCAACTGCAGCCGGTTTTCGGGTTGACGCTTAGTATACATGCAAGTATCTCCCAGTTGTTTCCCTCCTCATAAGTCTTCAGTATTCTGCTTTTCACCTCTACTGAGTGGCGTGTACGGGTGCTTTTTTGTGCCTTTCTGAGTACAGCAAGTTGAAAATCACCCAGTTGCTTTACATATATACGTGTTTGCACAAGCTTTGTAACTTAGGCCCGCTCTGAACCAGCCAACCACCGCCGGATAACTCTTCGCCCAGTTCTTTCCAAGGTCATGTAATCCACTATTACAGAGGCCATCATGGGATACTTGGAAAGATGTAGTAGCATCCTCCCGGAGCAACATGGTTTCCGCCGAAACCATTCATATACCACGAACATTTTGTTAGCCCGTGCCAGCTGGATGGAATCTGTTGATCCTGAGAAGGGATTTGACGCTGTGTACCTCGATTTCTCGAAAGCACTTGATCATGTTGATCACAACGTCTTCTTTCTCAAGCTTCAGAGCTGTGGGATCAGCGATCCCATCCGGGGTTTTATGCATGCATTCCTGCTTCGACGTCGCCTAAATGTGAGAGTCCGCAGCGCCTTCTGTGGTGCAATGTGGCGCTCCACAAGGCTCGGTTCTAGGACCAAGGCTTTTACTCGTCTATATTAACGGCCACGTGGAAATGATGGTTTCAAACGTTTTACTCTTCACATACAATCTCAAAAGCTGGCGGACTATCAGGACGGTAAACGACCACATGACACTACAAGGTAATCTCGACAGGGCTCAGGATTGGTCAGTTCAGAACATGCTTGCGTTCAACGCTGTCAAATTTCGAGTACTAGCATGCGCCACCAGAGAACTTACGCATGCTGGCTGGGCGAGCACCTTTCACAAAGCGTCTTCCATGAAAATGGTCTTAGAGTGGTCATGAAGGCCGATCTCAGTTGATCAAAACACGCCGAAAAATCAGAAAGAAAAGCCAAGGAACACTTGGGTCTCTTGCGGCTAGCGTGTTGCCGGTTTGATCCAACTATCATTTCACAAATGCTCAACGCTTACGTATGGGTCACATTTTGAATACACCATCCAGGTCTGGCACCCTTAGCACCCTTGCTGCTCTTGCGACTCCACAAAGTACAGCAACAACAAATATAAAGGGCCTGACTCATCTCCATTACCACCATGGACTACAACCCTAGGAAATTTCGGTGGTCAATACCGTCGCCCACGCGGTGATCTTATTTTGGTATTTCAGATCCTAATGGATTCAAACCACGCATATCGGCACTTACTCAAATTAAGTCACAACTCCTCACTTCGAGGCCATCACTTAAAGTTAGTCACACAGTATAGCCAGCTGGAATGCCGCCGGCATCTTTTCTCACTTCGTGTGTCCCAGTGGTGGTTTGCTCTCCCGATTTCTGGCATCTCCACTTCTGCATTGACTGAATTCGAAACCCAACTTGATGAAACGTTGCAACACATACACTACAAGGCTTAACCAATATCACTGAGACACATCACGATATAACCGAACTACGTACACTAGTGAGACATCGGTGACTTCACCGATATGTGCTATTTTTGTTTTTGTTAATACATTCATATTCTATTTCACTCTTTTTCCGGGGAATTGTGAAGACTTACTTCTTACCAGTGATAAATCCATCGATCCATTGATACGACCGCTTCGTGCGCCTAAGCGTGCTTCTGGATTCAACCTCACCGCTAGACTCAGCCTTACGAGGATGATAAGCTCATCAAACAGGCCGCTGGAGTGAAACACAATAGCGACTGACAAGCAGCCCGGTCGCAGCTACTGTAACAACATGTTTGACGCCCTTCCACTTAAGCTTTTCATCTCAACCCTGGGTTTCGTCGATCTAACCCCCGCTCTCCTATCCCAACTGTCAAAACCGTCCGATATTCATCATCATTAAGACCACGCAACCTTGGAATTCATTGCACTACCTTACGCAAGTGGTATTTCCGGTGACAGTGCGGTT